TATTCACTCTTTCTTTGTATAGATATTTAATGCGTTCGTGTCTTGGTTTGTTTTGGAGATGATCACAGCTGATTCATAATTGGAGAGGATGGCAGCAACATTAGGGTTTGTTTTTCTTGGCCACTGAAGTCTACGGTGACTCACACTGGGAGAGTTACAAATGAACTCTCCCAGACAAATGAATAGTGGGCAAAGGTTGTTTTGGTGCCTAATGTTCTTGTTTGCAGTGATTTTATGTACTGGCACTAAGGAAACTTCTCAAACTGTTCTTGAGCGTGAGTGGCAAGTTCTGAATTAATCTGATGCAATTTTTTTCTGTCCTGGGAAAAATACCCCTTCTTTATGGGGGTGACTGCATCATGTTGATTGTCTACATCTGGACTTGTGCTGTGATTCTGGAACAAACAGTAATAACTTTGTGTGGAACTGCGCTTGTTTGTCACCTATCAATTAAATTCAAATTAATTTAACTCAGTTTATTTATATAGTACAGATTCCGAACATAGGCACTTTGCCAACACATAAAGTTAATTCAATCTTGAACTACATGTTGTGCTATGGATCACAGGAGGTCGAAGTCATTAGAAACAAGATTGTCACTGTTTCTGACATTATAGATCGCAATGATTTTGTCTTTATTTCTATTTTTGGAGCTCTTTGGATCTTTTCGTGATGGTTGTTTGTGTGTGTGTGTGTGTGTGGGTGGGGTGAGGGTTTTTTTTTTTTTTGTGTGTGTGTGTGTGTGTGTGTGTGTGTGTGTGTGTGTGTGTGTGTGTGTGTGTGTTGTGTGTGTGTGTGTGTGTGTGTGTAAGAGAGAGAGAGCTTTTTTATCTTACTCACTAAAAGAGCTCATAAATATCTTTTAGCTACCGTTATTTTAGACGGCTGTACGTGTTGTCGGAAAAGTTTAAGCGATTTTATGCTTTTAAAGGTCTGCTTGGAATCAGTCCTGGGTATTCCAGGATGTGGCTGTCGAAATTAAACTCAGGCGTCCTAAAACTTTGGTGAATCACAGTTATGTCATGGTTTGTCAAGAAGAGTAATTACCTGTTCTGAAGAGTGCTTACATAAATCTTTGCTTCTCTGTTCCATCTTCTTATTTAGACTCCAGGGAAACAGACACTGATTTCTTATTGTGACTCTGATCAAGATTTGCATTGAAAGCCCAAACTGATCCAGTAAAAACGCTTAAATGAACCGAATTTATAAAGAACCCTTTCTATCATACTGACGACTCAAAGGATTTGTTCATTGCTTTGCAGCAGACATATTTGCCCATTTGCATTTTGAAAAAATGATTTTTTTAAAATTATGCATCAACATGGAAATTGAAAACATGCCTTGCAACATCAACACGAGAAGGAAGCTGGAACCAAACCGACAACCTTCCGATTGTCAGAGTCCTACTCTATCAACAAGTCACAGTCGCTTTTAATTTACAGTTCATTTGTACAAACTGGAGATGTGGCTCTGGTGATTTCTGGGATTAAAAAAAAAAAAAACATTTCTTGATGTAGGATTTAAAGTTGTGTATTTCTATAAAAGCCTCAGTGTGCGATTATGACACACACCTGCAATTAATTGTGACTTTCTGCTGCGTCAGACAGCTGCACTAGTGGCACCCAGAACCGCAGCGTGTGCTCCGAGAAAAAGAAATGAAAGAAATCCTGTTTGACATTTTGTGCGCTTTCTCCTGTTTCAAGCAGCCATTTCACTATTCCCAGTGGGGCCACAAACTCCCGGCCAAACCAGAACAACTCTGGGGTTGTGAGAAAGCTTCGCCGTTTGAATTCACCTCCCCGGTTGTCGTTTGTGCAGAAACATTTGCAGCGTTCCGCTCAGACACACGGCAGTGCCAGGCAGGTCAGCTGGCATTTTGAGAATTTCAAACTTCCCTGTTTCTTTTGATGAGTTTTGTAAGGAGCTGATAATCATCTGCATTCCTCAGAGACCCCCACCCCCTGCGCCTTCTTGTGACGGCCCGAGACAACTTCTCTCTGGCCTCAGCAAGTCAGAGTGAGTTCATCAGACAATTGTATTATTTGTACATTTTCACCTGTTGAATATTTATGTCAATTTATTATGAAATCTATAAAGCTCACATAAATAATACATCTAGTCAAGTTGACAATGTCCATAATGAAGCAGATTTTTAAATAGAGGCACTTTGTGCTGCAGCTATTGTTGTTAATTGGAAAAACTGGAAAATAATTTCCCACCTTTTAAATCAGTTGATTTTCTGGATAATTGATAAAAATGGAGAAGCTAAAAAAAAAAAAAAAAAAAAAAAACCCTTCTCTGATTTGTGAAATTTCATTTCGGTGAAATAAAATGTAATCTGCAACCTGCACAGTCGGTGTCCAGGGGTTATTAACCCACCTAACAGGGCAACAACAGGCACAGCAAGCCATCTGCAGCTGATCGTGCCGATAGGAATGATTGGAATTTTCAAGGTACATTAGAAGTCACTTGAAATGCAAAACCAGCATGAAACCTTAATCCTGTCTGCAGAGGAAATACAGGAGAGAAATCTGATGCTTTAAGAGCCTCCCTGCCACACTGGTAGGATTTGGATTTTAGAGTTAACTTGCAAGAGCCCAACAGGACCAGATGATGGGGTTGCTGCTGTTTAGAGCTCCTAAATGCTTTGCAAGTGAAAATAAGACAAAAGTGAGAAGTGCGTGTGCAAATAGGCAACAGCTCGAGTGTTGCATAATGTGCTCGGGTAATTTCCCTGCAGCATTTCAAGGTAAAAATATCAAATCCGTTTTCCAAACAAGTCTCAAATTTCTACAGTATTGGTGCAAAAGTGATGCTACCAGGCTGATTTGGTTTCCTTTTCCTTTTTTTTTTCTTTTTACCCACCCATTTTCAGAGGAATGTTCTTTTTGTTTCTTGAGCCCTTCAACCCTGACCTATGAACTATTCGAGCTCAAGAAAAATGCACCCAGACTCAAAAGATGAGTCATTGTTTTGTAAACATCACACCCAACTTAGCATGAGTTTTAAAATTTATCTCTAGGCGCCATGTTTCTAAGAGCCTGTCACAACAACACACGGATTGTTAGGATGCATCGCATTCCATCAATGAAACAGAAGATAACACAGTTTGATAGGGCGGGGTGGGGGGTCACCATCGCTGGCTACAAGACACGGCACAGATGGTTCACGAAGAAACACTTGACATAGTACAACATTCAGAACTCTAAAGTAGCAAGCATCTCTTCGGTTTGGGTGCGTTTTATATGCTGCAATGATTCATAGGTCAGAGTTAAGTGGCTTAGAAATACATTTGGAAAATAAGGTACAAGAAAAGTGGGGTGAAAAGCTGTTGATGACAATAGACAAGCTTTGAAAGACCTTTCACAAGCCTAAAACACTTTTTTTTAAAAATCAGCAGAATAAATGGACACCAACCAATTGAATTTAACTATCTAGAAGCTGTAAAGACAACTTGTTGAAAGATCGGAATGAGCATCACAATCAAGGAAGACGAGACGTTGAAGTGACTTTAGAGGCGGCGTGGTTGTTGGGGCCAGTCGGGTTAGCCGGAGTGTTTCAGAAACCGCTGATCTGCTGGAAACTTTGTGCATGTGCCATTTCTTGACTTCCAAGAAACGGTCCAAGAAAGAGAGTTTCAGCTGCGCGGAGGCTGTGTGGATGGAAATACCTTGTTGGTGTCAGGTGGTAGCTGACAGAGTGGCTGGAGATGATAGCAAGGCAAAGGTAAGTACAAAGAAAGTAGTGCACAAGGAATACAGTCCCCAAACACGCTGAACACGCTGAACCTTGGGAAAGACGGGTCACGTCAACAGAAGACCACAACAGAAACCATCTCTGCCACCAATGAACAGGAACTTTAGGCTACAAGTCGCACAGACTCACCTAAATTTGATAGTAACAGACTGGAGCATTTTGAGGTTCGATGAGTCTTAACTTCAGCTGCGACACAGTCAGAATTTGGCATAAAGAAATCTCCATCGAAAGATTCTGACACATGGCTGAAACACAGCATCTCCGAAAGCACAGGGAGATCCAATCTGGTGCTAGCAAGGCGTACCTAATAAAGTGCGATGGCCTTTTATTTTCATCGGCCCCCTAGATGAATTCGGGCTAAGGCAACGTTTTGTTTCAAAAAGCCTAAAATATCTAACGTGCTTCAGCTGTTGTTTGGTTCGGCCTGCTGCCTGGTGTTCTAGATCACTGCAAGCCTTCAGAAACGGAGAGCAAAACGCTGAACGTGAGGCGACCCACTGAGGTCTGGAGAGTTTGAAGAAGTGAAAACCGGAGCTGCTGCAGTTCTGCTTCTTTTTTGTCTTTTGTTTCTTTTTTCGTCGGCATTAAGGAAATGTTCTCTGTATGTTTCGCCTTGCGCACAGAACGCATGCCAGTCGAGCCCGTGTGTGAACTACCAGGAGTGCATGAATGATCCTGTTGGTCTGTCAGTGTTCTTATCTCAGCCTCGTCTAATGTTGCAACTGTGATCTGCATCGATGGGCCTTATAGATGCTGGCTGCATGTCAGGAAATCTACATAAAGGACTAAATGAGAGGTGATGATGAGAAGGAGGAAGGGGTGGGGGGCTCCTTCTTTGTTTCCAAATATTTGCTGGCTGCTCAGTTTATTAATCCAATCCCCCCCCCCCCCACACTCCACACCAGCCCCCTCACCCCCCCAGACCCCCAACACTCACTCACACACACACTCCTTCCTCAACACACAGTTGGGGTTTTTACAGGGACGCTGTGACCTCCTGACCGGCCAGTCGCTGATTATATTTCATTGCATCCTGATTCTCTGTCATGCACGCTCGATGGGGGGAAGGGCATAAAGAGGAAGAGGATATGTGTGTGTGTGTGTGTGTGTGTGGTTGGAGGAGGTGGGGGTGAGGAATGCTTGGTATGTGCGGACGGACGATAACAACGCGAGAGGCGAGCAACGCGCGTACAAATAACCCTCACCCCGCCCCCCCTCCCTCCCTGAAAAGCGCCTTTAAAGCGTTTTTTTAATATGCGCCGATAATATAAGAGAGATCTAAACGGAGGTATTTCCGACCGGATCGGATCGCCGTTGGGGTTTTTTTTTTTTTAGAGGCGGGGAGCCCGCAGTGTGCGCGCCGTGCAACACCCCGGAGAGGCGGAGATGGTTCGGTCTGTAGTAGGTGGGGACAGCCGAGCCGAGCCGAGCCGAGCGGTCTGCAGCAGGACGTCGTAGATCAATGAACCGGACCGGAGGGCTGGTCCGACGCCTGGCGAAGAATCTGACTGTATTATAGATGTGTCAGTACACCTATCCAGAACCGAGGCTTTATTCGCTGTTAACCTGCCGGTTCAGTATGCGGAGATTATAAAAGGCTGTTTTACAAGCCTCTCTCTCTCTCTCTTCTTTCTCTCTCTCTTTCTTTCTCTCTCTCCCCTCCATCCTTTCATCGTCGCTTGGTTTCTCCTGCCTTAGCGCTCTGTTTTATATTTTATTTTCATTTCATTTCTGTTATTTATTTTTATTTTTATTTTTTATTTTTTTGAGGGGAGGGATCCAACACACATCTATAAGCTCCGGGATGATTTTTGCAAACACGGGCAACCCACTGAAGACGACCAATCGAAAGCAGGTAGGCCAAAAATACACACACACACACGCGCGCATTCACATATATAGGGCCACACATATTTTATGCCCCCTGCTCGCACTTTTTTGGCGTCAGGTCATTTCAGTGATCGGACATTGAAATGCACCGAAACGCCACCAGGCGCACATGACATTGGGACGGCGTTCCCACCTCATTCTTTGCATGACGGGATTCATTAAACTCGTCAGGATACAGATCCACAGATCCACGGCTCTCAGCAGTTGCCAAGCAGATGCTCTGATATACGCGGGGAGGTAAAACAGCGGCTGACCCCCCCATCCACCGACACTCTGACGCTCATGTCCAAGTAACCTTGTTTGGCCCTCTCTGGCCCCAACTCTGGTCAGTACGCATGGCGTATTGACCAGATGAGCAATCCTGCCTGATGAGCAGTAGATTAGTAGCAGGCAAAGTCCTTATATAAAAAAAAAATATATATAACAATAAATATATATGTGTGTACACTGATAGATGCTGTGCTATCAGTGTGCTGCATGGGTAGGACTTGACTTGTTTTGACCTCTGAGATCATCACACTTTCTTTCTAGTTTTAGATGGGGGGATTGAAAAAAAAGAAACATGTATAGATACACTACTAATAATGACAATGATGATATGATGATGAAGCAAGAAAGGAAGGAAGAAAAGAAGTGCAGATGGTTGAGACTTCAACCCCGATGCAGACATGATCAGTCGTGGTTTGCCGAACCTAAGAATGAAATCCTGCAGGAAATGAGGTTTTGGTGGTGATTAGCTGCAAGATGCCCTTGTGAATGTCTTCGTACGCATCTTTTTGAAGGATGCACACCCCGAACAGAAAAGTTTGTAGCCGCACGCTGACGGATTGTTGGAGGACAGAGCAGACCTCAGATTCATTTCTCATCTGTGGCATGAAACAAAAAGAAGAAAAAAAACAAAACAAACAAAAGCAAGCCTTTGTAAGAATAGCTCTGTTGTTTAATTTTTGTTGTTGTTGTTTTTTTTACAGTCTTGTCTGCAGTTTTATCATCTTTGGCTCTCGAAGTAGATTGTCCTTTGGTTATGGACAGATGGTGTGATTCTGCCTTTGATCTGATTCTGGAGAGCTTGGGGTGGCTGGGAGCGATTTTAATGAATGAGTAAAGGGAAGGAAATGCTTCGCAGGAGCAGTGCGGGGTGTGCAGAGTGGCTCACAAGCACGAAGAAAAAGGCATGTTTTCTGAGGAAGGCCACAGCAGGATGTACTAGTTAAAATGCCGATTTAATCACAATGTGATTCATAAAGGCGCCTCTTGCACAATAGTAAATCTTTCACTTTTGTTTGGCAGAATATGTTTTCATGGGAGCTTAAATCGACTACTTACATCTGCTGCTGCTGTAAAACCGTAGCAGAGGGAAATGTAACATGTTTGTTTTTCTAATACTTTTCTTTAGAAACATATAGCAGAGTAGTAGGGGGGAAAAAAATGCCGTTAGTTTACAGTCTTTCCACGGCTGCACACAGTATACCGGGGTTCAGTGTTGGTCATTAATAAGCAATGCTTGACCATCAGCTCCAGCTTTTAACGCAGTAGGAAGCAGCGCTCCCGTCCTGCACGGCCAGCACGCTCTTATGATCGGTCTGGTTAGATTCGATTATCCAAAGCGCCCGCACACGTCCTAACAGCGGGTTTCCTGTGTGCAGTCTTACCCCATGACTCCGTCCAGTCCCAGCAGCAGCAGCAACAGCAGCAGCACAGGCCTGGAGCAGCTCAGCAAAACCAACCTGTACATCCGAGGCCTGCCTCCCGCCACCACGGACCTGGATCTGGTCAAACTCTGTCACCAGTGAGTACATGCATGCAGACACGTCCAGACGGTTCTGGCTCGGTGTCGACAGCACAAAGAGCACATCTTTTTGAGATAAGAAGAGGTGGAGTCTGATTTCACATTGGTTTCATTGCATCTCAAGCTCAAGAGAGTCCAAATGTGCTGAAGAGACATTTAAAGGGGCAACTAAGATTTTTCTGCAGACTGTTTGGAGTGTTTATTTGACAAGGATGTATGTCCCTCCTTCAGGAAATACGGCTAATAGTACCTCCAGTAGCTTCTTGCTACTGGAGGTACATTGCTGGAAGTGGGCCGAAGATCCCAAAACAAGTATGTTAGTGATGTGAAACTGCAATCCTGCCTGATGAGCAGTAGATCAGTAGCAGGCAAAGTTTTCCTTCATCAAGTTCAAAGAGGCATCGTCGTTTTTAAAACCCCAAAATAACATCCACTTATCAGATACATTAAATATGCTGTGTTTTAACGAAGCAGTTTGATTTTCGCAGAAAGTGAATTTTTAATTCACCATGGAACAAAAGGGATCTTGCAAGCTTTCGTTGCTGAAAGAGTTAACTGCGGTCTACTTTGTTATTTATTCTTTTATTTTTTTTAATTATTCTCAGTTTATTACTCTAAAGCTCCCCAGTCTGCTTTGGAGTAAAAATCACTGGATTTCTGTACCTCAAAAATAAAACCAAACCAAAAAAATGACGTTAATAAAAGAACAAATACTTCATCTTGTGTCTAATATTTTTCATAATAGGAGGGTTTTAAATTTCAGATGGTTAATTTCTTGGATTGCAAACATCGAAACGGTTATTATTTTTGACATTTTCAAACAAGTGTGTAACTGGATTAATGTCCTAAAGATTTCTGCCACCTGTCATACAATTGTCGCCGCAATATACTGTGCTTTTCCAGTCGTTCATAGTTCTGATAGTTTTCTTTATAAATGTGACACAATCAGGTTTTAATGATCCACGCATTCACTCAATGATGTAAACCGAATATGGCAACTTTAATATTCAGAAACAATCAGGATGTTGTTAGCCAGCACCGAACCAAGGTTCACACTTCTGTGAATGATGCCACACCACAGTCCAGCTGGTCACAAACGTCAAAGTCTTCAAACACTGTTATGAGATATTAAGGGAATCTCTAGAAATGACACTCAGTCTAAATGTGATTGCTAAAAGCTGCTATTAAAGTATTAAAATGTGTTGTTAAAAGCAGCCATAATGACTTATTAAAAAGCAACGTAATGGCTGTTTTGTATTGATTTATTAATTGTGTTCTTTTGGGGTTTTTTTACTTCGTTTCCGTTGTCATTTTGCCGTTGCATGAGTTAAAATGTTTGGGGAAACTCTGGATTGGAGAACACGACAGAAAACAGCTCTTAGGATGAAATTACATTTTGGTGCATTTTTTTTTTTTTTTAGCTCTTTTTCCAGTCTTGGTGCTATGCTGAGCCGACACGTGCAGGCTGAAGCCTTTCTTGAAGGACAAATGTGTCAAATTGGAGGACATTTTGAAATGTTCAAATTTTATGCCAAAAAGCCTCCAAAATTCAGCAGCTCAGCAAGGCTTCTCTTAGCAAGTTGAAGATAAGCCTATTTACACATTTATAAGGAATGCACTAGTTGAAACATGCACTGAATTAAACAGCGTTTTAACATAGTTAAGCTGTAGATGCATTGAAATTAAATAGTAAAGAATTGAAGACCTTGTTTTTTACTGAAAATCTGATTTCTATTTTTTCTTTTTTAAAATTGACTGGCTAGATTATAATGCACAGCAACACATAAGTGCTAAAACATTCAATGGTCTATAAATGCAAATACATATGTAAAAGTAGGAACTCACCAATGGAATGTGAAAGACTGTAAAAATATTGTTTTATAGAGAAAAGACAGCCGTCCAGTGGACATGTTTCATATAATTTGATACTACAGACTTGAGTCCAAGTGGTTAATGTGGTAGATGCCATAATTAGTGGATTTTTGTCTTTGTTTTTCCTTTTAAATCAAGCGCATATTGGAAGAAGAGGCACTCAGCCATATAACCAGCAGCAGCGGCAGCTGTTTGTGTCCTGTTTGCTTGTGTTTTGTTCTTGTTCCCAATGGTGTTTGCCAGCACAAAAGCAGAAACGAAACCGCTTCTCATAGCAACACAGTATGCATGTTGAAATGAGCGAGACATTCAGTCTGCATGGCCTCCAAATCCACGCAGCAGCTCACAGTTTGTGTCACATTTCAGCCAGACGTAAAATAGAAGCCTGGGGTAATAAAATTATATTAAGGTTGTTGGAAAATATGTTTGATGGAGTGTGTAGCTCCTCTCCATTAACATGAACAGCTTTACTTTGCCGAATAAGTCGTCTTTACTGGACCCCCAGCAGGGCCGTTTCTAGGATTGAACCTTCAGGGATCATTGGGGCCTTTGAAAATGTGGCAACAAATATTTCATTTTATTCAAAATGTCAAAAATACATTTATTTTTAAAACACAATATTGCTAATAAATTGCTAGTGGCTCCTGCTACTTCCAGAACCAGAACAATATTTACATTAACGAACTACACTTCTGCTAATGTTGAAGGAAACGAGTGTGCAAGCTTCAGAAACAACCTAATGATTACTTCTTTTTATTTTAGAAGGATTGCTGGGAATGGCAACATTTTCATTACGCCGGCTTCACAGATCAGTATCGTTATTAAAAAAAAAATAAAATCATATCAAAGAATGTTAGCGACAAACGTTTTTTGCAGACTTTGGTGTTTCTTTAAGTTATTTGGGTTTGTGAGTAAGGCTACAAAACCCAAAAAACTTTAATTGTGAGTTTATTAAATGTGACAAAAAACAAAACAAAACAAAGATGCATTTGTAAACAGCTTGTGAAAGAAACAGGAGATCAGACTAAGATTTAAAAGTATGGATGCTTAAGTGAAAATGACTGAATCCACCTTGCAGAGCGTTAAGAGAAAGCACTATTCTCCTCTTCAAGAACACATTCCCTCCTTTGGGAACGAACGGAAATTGCCATCAGCATCAGTCAAAGATGCGGTCTCCACTCTAGATGAGGGTTCTTTGACACTAATGTGCATTTTGTTGTGTACACAGGTATGGAAAGATTCAGTCGGCCAAGGCGATCCTCGACAAGACGACCAACAAATGCAAAGGTCAGTTAGCTCAGCAGCAGTAGGTTCAGCTTTTGTATGCATGTTTTGAACCATTTGAGGAAGCATCTGGTTTGTTTCAATATCCTAAGTGTTCATAAATGGATTAGTTGTTTAGCCTGATAACCAGTCTTTGTGAGGGCTGGCCATGAATGCTTCTGTTCCCTCTCTCGCCAAACTTCTGTGGCTTCCCATTGAGGCACATTGAATTATACAAAATCTTTTCTGCGCTTCCATGGTAACAAAAAGTTTGACGAAAACAAAAGCAGATTAAGATGGATTATCCCAGACAGACAGGTTTAGAGGATCTACAGACACGTTCTCTCTCCTCGTAGAATCAGCGGAAAACAGTGGCGAGCTGTGTTACAGGGAAACATTAAGATTGTACTTGAAAATGAAAAAAATGGCATATTTTTCAGTTTAAAGTAAAGTTAGAGAAATCTATGTCTGAGAAAAAAATCATGTTATCTGGTTTCATGCCATTGTGCATACGTTACGCTGTCAATGATCCACATAAGTTACCATGATGAGTTCAGGTCTCCAATTACCCACTTCATACAACTCAAAAGTAATCACACTGAAGTTAACAAGAACACATATTTTATTTTTATCTTTACACAATACCAGACTTATGGTAGTACCAAGTTCGTATCATTGACTCTGACTATTTAGAGATTGGCCACTTAGAAAAATGAAAAGACAACCACACCTCACTGTTAAAACTCCCTACAACAACCTGTAGCAAGTCGTACTTTATCCATGACGTGTGATCTGTTCTCACTGCCTTTGATCCACCATACCGAGTCACGAAGGGGAAGCCCTCTCCTTGCATCCTCTCATGCTGCTGAAGAAATGTTTTGATGTTTTTAATCAAAATATAATGGAAGTGATTGATAATGAAAATCATGATAATAAGGCACACAGTGTCCAGAGCTACAGGCCTGCAGACTTCATGTGGCTCAAGAAAATGCCATGGAGCGCTTGTGGACGAGGCTTCCGGGGCCAAAAAGCTGCATCCAAACCTAACATCATGTAGTCTTCTGCAAAACCTTGTGCTTGTAAAACATTCTTCTCTGGGCTCTGGAAGAGTCATTTTTTTTGGAGGGATGAATCATCCCTCTCTGTTTGGAAACCCAATGGATGGGTAAGGATGAAGGACTGGCCAGGCAGTTGCTAATTCCCTGACATCATTGTGTAAAGTGCACAGTTTGGTGCAGACTACAACGCGGGGTTTTCATTTAGTTCTAGTAAAATGAAGTGCTTCAAAATACAAAGACATTTTGGACAGTTGCATTGCACACCAGGACAAAAAGCAAAGTCCATAAGAACTTGACTGGTTTGCACAGATACCTTAAAGAACCAACCATTTGAGTCGGGACAGAACAAACTGGAACATATGTGGTACGTTGATTCCCCAACACCAGTGCCTGACTTACATACTTCTGGAAGAATGATCAACAATTCCCATAAACATACTCCCAACTTTGGTGGAAAGCGTCCCAGAAGAGTTGAAGCTGTCACAGCTGCAGTGGTGAGCCACAGAGTACTGTAGTAAACTGATATATTTTCAGATGTCCATGTGCAAATGTGATAACTCTGGCAGCAACATTGCAAAAGTAACGTCTGAAAAAACCTCACATTGTGTCATCATTGCTTTCACACTGAAATGTGACTGTCTCCACTGGCTACATTCAAGTAGCCTTCAAATGTCGATGGAGATCCTAGAGAGCAAGAGGAAGTTCTGATCAGAAGTACAGGAGGCCTTTGCTGGTGTACCCTTTAGTGGAAATGATGTTTCCCTGAAGGGCATTGACTTGTGTAACAGAAAAAATGTTCCCGGATGTACTGCAAAAAAGAATATCCACTTCACAACGTCTTGGACTTGACAGACTGGCAGATACCACCAGCCTCATGTGGTTTACAGAACCTAATAAGCACACTGCAAATAGGCTGAATATTTTACATGGTGACTTTTATTTATTTGTGTCATGCATTTATCCGGAATGCTGACAGCAGAAATTGACTGTTCTCTTGGTTTAATGACTGCTGATAGAAATCTTGTCCCACAAACATCAGGTTACGGCTTTGTGGACTTTGACAGCCCAGCTGCTGCTCTAAAGGCAGTACATGCTCTGAAAACCAGCGGCATTCAGGCCCAGATGGCCAAGGTAAGCCTGATATGCACACGCCTGCACGTCTACGTGCATGTGTGTGTGTGTGTGTGTGTGTGTGTGTGTGTGTGTGTGTGTGCATACTTTTCATTCTTTCAAACCTTTCCTTTGAAGTTGTGCTTTTTTGACTGTTTGCATTTTTGTCAGTTGCATGTTGAAGCTGAACGTGTTTTAGCCGTCGTGTTGTTCCTCCTCTGACCCCAGGGACATAATGGCACAATAATTTATCAACCTAGCTGCTTCCGTATGTATTTTTACATATGGAATCAATGTAATTAATTAATCACATTAATTCCACAGTTTTGCCAAGAAGCAGAGAGATATTTAGCACCTAAGCACTGTAAAGAAATGGGATATTTATGCGTTATCTTAAATGGTTTCTCTCAAATACCAACAGCGGCATAAAATCTCTTTCAGTCCAATCGTTTTTCTGCATGTGCGTGTTGCTGCTCGCTGATGAGTCACTGCTCTCGGGAGACCTGCGTGTGGCTGCTCAGTTTTTATCAAACATGGCAGAACACAGGTTGTGTGTTGCAGTAGCTATGACGACGGCGCTCTCATGCCGTTTCCAGGAGACCGTCGAGGCGCCGAGCGGCTGCTCAGAGCAGATGAAGTGGGATGCACTGTGCGCGGCTACATGTTTGTGTGCAGAAGAACTTAAAAATGTTTGTTTAACCCATGCGTTCCCTTGACCAAGACCTGAGTAAAGTCAGTGTTCTGACTCATCCGTTTGTCAGCAAAGATGAAGTGAATTGTCTGCGTTTTAGCTCTCTTTCCGTCTTTTCTTCTTCCAGGGATGTAAAATTCTCACATTTTCTCTTCCCGTCTCCGAGCAGCAGCAGGAGCAGGACCCCACAAACCTTTACATTTCCAACCTGCCTCTGTCGGTGGATGAGAGAGAGCTGGAGAAGATGCTGCAGCCCTTCGGTCAGGTTGTCTCCACTCGAATCCTCCGGGACTACAGCGGTAACAGCAGAGGCGTGGGCTTTGCCAGGTTTGTCGCAGGATACACTGAAAGGAAGCACATCCGCTTCTTGCCTGATGAATCACCTTTGAAACAGTTGCGGCAAAAGCCTTCAGCGCTCTGCCGCTTTATGTGATCTGGTGTTCAGCTTCGACTATTTGTAGTTGCTGTTCATGCGCAAAAAAAAAAAAAAAAAAATAGAAGACCGGCAAACAACGACCCGCGAGAAAACCCTAGTGCACCAGAAACCTGCTTTTAACATTGTTTGGAAAAAAAGCAGCAAAGCATAATAACACTGATTGAGTGTATGTTGTAGCTATGCAGAACATGAACACTTTATATTAAAAAGACATTGTTCCAGCTGGTGTGTCAGCGTTCGTGTCTCTCTTACAGGATGGATACGACAGAGCAGTGCAACGCAGTCATCTCCCACTTTAATGGCAAGTTCATCAAATTAGCCTCTGGATCTCTGGGTAAATGACCTTCGTTTTTCTGTCTATTTTCATTTAAATGAAATATTAACGGTAATAATTTTATTTGCCTGTGTACTGACATGTTGTCTTCCAGGACCGTCTCAGCCTTTGCTATGTAAGTTTGCTGACAGTCAAAGAAAGAAACATGCTCACAGTGGATATGTTCCCAACGGACAGTCAGGCGACCTCAGACTAGTATGTTTAAAATCCTCTTCTATTATTTGCTGTATGAGATTTTGATCACTGTTTTTAACCTATGTAAAAGCTCATTTTTAAAACCTTTTCTATTCAGACATCAGCCAACTTTTAAATAAGTAATGGGTTTAAAATTTTTCTATCGCATTTAAAAGAGATTCAGTTATTTAAATGAACAAAAAATATCCAAAACTACATAGTAATTCTGTGAATCTGAATTTTTATTTTGTTTCATAAGTGTTGGGGAAAAAAACAACAACTGAAGATTGGACTGGAAAGCCAATACAAACAAATCCTAACCTATTGTTGCCACCAGCAGTGGACAGAAAAGAAATAAATAATTTTTTAAGCAAGCTGTGGTCACGGCAAGGAAGGCATCTCAGAATCACTGACACAAAGGTGCTTCCAAAACTTCTGCGTAAACATGAACCTCTTAATAAAACAACTTTTAACTAGGAAAGGTTATATTCTGCATAAAAATGTGAGCTATGCGGTGGTGCAATTGACTTGCACAAAAAAGGTCTTAGGTTTTCTTGTGCATAAGAAAACCTAAGAATGTGAGTTCTCTCCAGGTTTTTATACAGTTCAAAAGCATATTAGGTCAATTAGCAGCTTTACTTACGCCTTAGGTGTGTGTGTGTGTGTGTGCGTGGGTGCGTGTGCGTGTGCGTGTGTGTGTGTGTGTGAGCATGCCTGAATGCCTGCACCTCATGTCCCTGTGTTGCCTTTTGAAGGACTGGCTTTCTGTCCCCCACCATCCTGCATAGAGGAAGCACAACATGTACAGATCGGTGATTCTTAATTTTCACAACTTTTCAAAATTCCTGAAAATCTGTTGAAGAAATATTAGAAGAAAACAAAAAAATCACGTCTTAACATGGAATCAAATCAAACAGCCTCACATCACTTTCATCAGCTGGATTAAATAAACTAAGTCATTTCGAGACGACATCAAAAAACTGTTTTCAAAAAAAGAAATGATGAGCATGATTTGAGTCAGAATTAGCCTGAACTTTCTTGTTGTTGTTGTTTCCATAGGGCGCCATGACGCTGACCTATGACCCCTCCACAGCAGCCATACAGAACGGGTAAGTTACTCTCTCTCTCTACAGAAGTTTGTCCAGTCCTTTAAAACCTTTTGTGAGAAAATGCCCTGAAGTCAATCTTGGTATTTTTATTTGTTTGGACAAATAACCTTAACGGTGGAATGCTGGCGGGTTTTCCCCCAGTGAAAACTGGCCCTCCATGTCCGCCAAATGACGTTAGCGCTCTGGCCTGGCAGTGAACGATATTAACCCTGTTCAATTACTTAATAACTTGATGTCCTGATCTTTATCTCTTAAAGTTGCTGTTAATATGTAACAATTTACTTTGTGTAGGAAAGCATGATTTTTTTTTTTTTAAATAAAGGTCATACTAATGTCATCACATTGACTGAAAACATTCAACTCTACCTGTATTTTTCAAATTGTGGTTAATAATAGATTAACTGACTTAATTTTTCAGGAATTATTTTAATATAAGATTTTTTGAACATTTGGATGGCTTTAAGCTTCACATTAGTTATTTCTGAGCCCATTGAACAAAAATAACAACATTGTTGTGTTTTATTTTATTTTTTCTTCCTCTAGATATTATCCCTCTCCGTATCCAGTGGCCAATAGAATAATGACTGTGCAGCCTGCAATGTCTCCATACATGTCTCCCGTCTCTGCTTATCAGGTATTCAAAGAGTCATTTTAATAAACCAACATAAACATAAAACAGACAAGCAAAGTCTGGAGTATCACCATTTCTTTGCTGACTTCAGTGTGCATTTTAAGGCGTGGCCTTCATCACATGAGTTTCGGGTTTGGTTATTTCTCACTTGCTCAGGAGCTAGAAATATAAAAAAAGGTGTTAAACCATATCTGAAACGCTTACGGCCTCGGGCCGCAATCGACTGCTAATGGAAAGCAGGCTGATCGGCTAAACGTTAAGTAATCTCTTAATAAAGCGTGTATTTGTGGAAGTGAAATAATGCTGAGAAATATTAGATAAAATAAGATTTCTGACAAGAGTTATTGCGATTTCTATTAATTCCAGCAAACCGATCAAAAATTTGCTCTTAATTTGAAAGAGAAGAATAACGTTTTTTTTTTTTAGACTTTTGTTTTGTTCTGTTTTGCAGTGTTTTCTATCTGACACTAACACTAGTAATTAAACAGATTTAAAGTTTTGATGATTTTATATTTGGATAAAATAAAGGCTTCAATTAAAATAGGGAAACATTTGATGAGACATAAAAATCAGAGATCTTTACTTCCCTTGGTCAAGAAGTTGGCACTTGGTCCGTTTCCATTAAAGCTCCACCTTAACCTGTGACTGGAGCACCTGTTAACCTTTTTAGGTTTGAGTGTTTTAAGGTTGGAAGGCCAAGAGCCCTCTGGTGGACACCAGCAGTCTAAACCTCAATCTCAATCAAGCTGGTGCTCTGAAATGGCAAAATGAGAAACAAAAGCTCCAAATTAAGCATAATCAAGATTCAGAAATTGTTATTCCTCAGTCCTAAAGAAAAATAGATGTTGCAATAAATTGCTGGTTAGCAAAAAAAAAAACAAAAAAACTACCCTAATTAAGAGTGGTAAAGAGAAAAAAAAGACACAAAGAACAACATCGAGAAATAACAAGTTGAAATACATCTACATAAATCAAGCTTTACTATGATTAAAGATTACAGGAAAGTTTCTCAGCTCTCTAGTGTTTCTAACACATAGATATGCAGTTACATAGACGAGAAATTGTTACCTCAAGGTGTTTACTGAGATAATCCTCTGGATATACATCGCCTGAGGGAATCTAGTTTTCAGACTTGACTATAAAAATGTCCTGTAATTTAGAATTTTAAAAACTATCAATAAAATATTTAATTAAACAACAAAAGTGACATAAAGCTAGTGAGTGAGGCCAGTATTGGTGTTATATGCTCATATTTAAAGAAAAAGAGGCAGCAGTTTAATTGGCTGCAGTAAAAAAAATATTTAAATAAATTCCCAAATATCACAATTTATAGTAACATCGCCATGAAAGTAGGAACAACGGTTTAAAAGTCTGAAATTGATTTGTATATCACATTTAAAAGGAGCTGTCAAAAATTATACTGGGGATTTTTTCAACAGAAGCTCAATTATATGAGGAACCGCTTACCAGCTCCGGGAAAAAAGGCAGCATTTTATTCAGGTTGTTTGTAATGCAGCCACGGCAGATGACTAAAGTTAATGGGAATGACTAATCACACTGACACAGCTTCACAGTACACAGGAAACTTTCTGAGCTCATCAGTGAAACAGACATGCGTGCTAAAAGCTGAAAGGTCTGGACATTTTTTTTAAGAATTGTAAATGAACAATCTAACAAAGCTGGATTAGTTGTTAAAGACTCAAACACTGATTAATATCTTTCAGATATTTGCTTATATCTATTTGTAGATTTGCACACACACACACGCGCGCACACACACACACACAGACAAACTGTGGTTAATGGCATCTGATTGTGGGTAACATGAACGCTTCTTATCTTTTGTGTCTCACTTTCTCACCCTCTGTTAGGTTCAGAGTCATTCTTGGGTGGCGCATCAACCATACATCATGCAACACCCGGTAAGTGAACAGAAAATATATATATATGTATATAAAACACACCCCTAACACCATTTTATGCATACAGGAAATGGGTGTGTGTGTGTATGTGGTGCAGTTGAGGCTAAAGGGCTGAGCTCAGTGCTGTTCGCTCTTTATTCAGCCCGCTCTGCTGACACAGTCAACCCAACACTCAAAGTTCCCTAAACATAATGCGGGGAAAGACCAAGCTGACACAGGCTGTGGGATACAGCCGCTCTCTGTTGGAGTGTGTGATGGGGAGAGCAATGAAAGAGAACGGGAATAACTAAGGAGACATTCAGCCCTCCCTTCCCCTGCGCCGTCTCTGTGGATCCAGCAGGAAATGCCTGAAGCAGAGACAGTCTTGTGACTCTTTGACTCTTCCAACAGATGGTTTCCACTGGAACAAGTGTCTGCTGCTGTGTCCCCTCCCCCCACACACACACACACACACACACACACACACACACACACACACACACACACACACACACACACACACACACACACACACAGACGCACACACACTTTCTGCTGGGAAATGAACTGTTCCCGAAAGGCATTAATGCTTAAAGGAGCACACTCCATTTGAAAATCGACAAGCTGCCAAATGGTGGTTTCTGAGCATCAAATCTGACTCCAAACATAACCAGTGGTTAATAAGTACACTCTCACAGATATGGAAAGAAAAAAATGAGCACATCATCTGTCAGTTGACTACACCTGTATTTTTTAGGTGTTTGGTATATTTTTTGTCCATAATTGTTCTGGGGTTTTGCTGTTGTTGTTTTGTTTTCTTGCTTGGGGTTTGCTATTTTTGCTGCTGCAAAGTGAAGACTGATTTGGCAAAACTCTTTATCATGTGACATGATGCTAAAGCTGAACTGCCTTGTGCCGCAGGCTGCTGTGATGTCTCCCTCTGTGGATCCCTCCATGTCAATGCATCCCACAGCAATGATTACTCAGCAGATGGGCCAGCTGTCGTTGGGAAACACAGGAGCGGTGTGTGGGACTAACTCCATTGCATTCTTTTTTTTTGTTTTCCTTTTTTGTTTTTAGATTGAACACTGTCTTTGGATAACATCAAAGTTTGCAGGAGACTTATAAGAATGTTAAACTGCTGTTCTTTTTTATTTATTTGTCTGACTTTCAAACATAACCCCAATCACAATCATTCGTTAGCTATGGTTCCCTCATTTAGTTTTATCCACACAATCTAAATAGTGGGGTTGTGTCCAGAGGTTACGAGTCGCTACGCTCTACTTTATTTCAACCCAGAAATCAGAAATTAAAATTTATGTGGCGAATGTTCTGATGTTGGAAACCAAGATCTCAATATCCAAAATGGCTGACATGTGCATTTTCTATAATTTCCCCTTTGAGAGATTTATAAGGTTAAAACTTATCTTCTGTAATTAGAGAAGATTCTCCACAATTGTAATCTTTGTAGTTTTTTTTTACAGTAAACCAGTTACATACATAGTTGTGTGTTAATAAAAGTATTGCTACAGCATTTTCTTAAAATACCCCCATTACACTTTTTAATATATACCTCCAGTTTCAATGCATGTATAAGTTATAGTGCAATAGGAATATAATGTCTGATGTCACCTTCCCATGCATTTGATACTGTAGGATGCACAGTGAGCAAAAGTGAGGATTTGATTTGATTTTTCTTCTGTGCCTCACAGTACATCGCTGCCAACCCCGGGGTCCAGGGAGCCTACATGCCACAGTACCCCCCACTGCAGACAGCAGCTGTAAGTTCTCTGTAAAATCGCTTCATATCGCCCTCCGCGCAGCATCCATTTAAATGCAACACATCTAAAAGCAGTAATTACTTCAGAAAATGACAGCAGCCTGTGCCTGTGTCCAGAAGTCCTCGATTTATAAAAGCCCCGAGTTGCTTTTGAAGCATTCGTCCTCCAAAACCATCAATTTTCTCACACAGAGGGCGGTTATTATCGGGCTCTAAATGAGAGATGCTGCTCTTGCTTTGCAGGAAAACGGCACGCTGCAGCAAGTGGATTCTTCCAACAACTCGTCTCCTTACAGTCAACTCAGCAAGTAATGCACAGGTACAGTGTGCTCTAGTTTATGATTGAAACTCAAGCATGTATTTTTTTTCCAGGATTTTTATTTCATATATTGATGGTAAATAAAACAATTCCTTTAAAGGTTGCTTTTAAAAACTTTCCATGTAAATTATGTAAAACTAAATGGATTAGTTTGCACCAACCCCCCTAATATTAGTAATCTAATTGTATTTTCCAGGCCACATTGCAGCTCTGTGAGCCGGAGGGCAGTTGGGAAGTTGCTGAGGATATCGCAGGGATAAAAGCGACCGTCTGCCCCGATTGGACCAGATACACAAACATTTTTTTTGCACAGCCCCGACATTTTTAGTGGGAATTGAACACAACTTAAATGGACTCAAACAGTCGGCTAATCACGGGGAAATTAAGTAAGATTGAAAAAAGAAAAAAAGTAGATATATTTTGATAAGAAACAACATCCTTCTCTTACTCTCCTTTTCAAAGACACCCTCCCACCCACCTGTCCCCCCTAAAACACCCCTTCCCACCCAATCCAAGTATGATGTGACATTTGCAATGCATGGGACTGAGATCTTTCTCCCCTCCCTTTTTCTGAGTTCTCCACGTTTTTACAAGCTTGTTTCATTCGTGGTGTACGACCGACATTAGCGGGCCTTGTTTGCACTGAAGCTTTTAGAATCACTTCGTTTAGGTTTTCAGAGCTGCAGGAGAGTGGACAGCTGACGACACACGTGCCCCAGCTGCACTTGAAAGCTAACACAGACAACCATTTCATTAGGAAATTAATGAATTTATTATTGGAAACGGTGCCTTCCTCACGTAACATTGAACATCGTCCAACATTCTTTCATCCAACTTGATCAGGTGTCATTCTTCTATTCCAATTGATCAATTGTGTGTGTGAAATCATGGAGCTTTCCATGAAGCTATCTAAGTCGTTTGGTAGCAATAAAGACAATGAGAGTTCCACGGCAATACTAAGAACAAAGGTGACCAACTGAGAGCACGGTGATTCCTTATTTTTCCTATTTCCTTTTTCTTTTTTTTAAATGGTCTAAACATGAAGCAGGAGCCGTACCTTTATGACTTTACAAGTTCGACACCCAATGGGCATCTACTTTGGAGGCTTTGTTTTACTCTTGTGGTCGGTCTGACCGGTTATCTACCTCACGGTTTTGCTGGAATCAGCTGGTGCTGTCGGGTTTGCAGGTAAAGCCCCTTCTCGCCAGACTGAACGCTGCGAACCAGAAGCCACGCTCAGGAGCTGGCTAAACAGGACTTCTGCCGTTTGTCTCCCATGTGCAGCATTCCTCCTCATAATCATTGAAATGGGAAAGAAAAAGAAATGCTTTTGAAATTTTTATCTCAATTTGTCTTTGCTTTTCTTCTGGTGTTTCTTTTTTCCACAACGTGACAAGCAATGCTCCATTTTAGACACTCAAAAGTTCCTCTGTAACAGCAGTTTGTATTTAAGCCAGATTTTTCATACCTCTCCTGGTTTCTGCAAGGATTAAAAACTTTGCACATCCCAAACTCTTTGGATGAGCTTAAAATGACTTCAAAATTAAAGAATTGTGTGGGAAGTACATTAAAAAAGACAAAATATTTGTAGAATTTCATGGCATTTGAAATTACATCAAAAAGCTGTATTTCCTAAGATCTGCAAACTGCAATGGCCAAAAGTGAAAAGCAGAGTTTTACTTTTGTTTTGTTTTTTCCCTTCACTTTATTTCTGAATGACCATCTGGAAAGAAGGAAAAAGGTCAAACATGTACAGTCGTGGTGCTTCTTCCTGATCGCTTCTGCTAAAACAGTGAGTGCTGAACACAGACAAAACACAGCCAGGGTTTTTACTGAGAGTACTTTCCTTTCCTGAAGATTTGTTGCTGAGAAAAATAAAATAAAATGGAACAACAACAAAAAAAAAAAAAAAAAAAATCATGTTTTCCTCATCGCTTCCCTCCTGTCACCTTCTACTGATTCTCAAACAATCCTCTCTTTGCTCTCTCTCCTTTGGAAACATTGAAATAAAAACAATAAAATAATCTCTTTCTCAGATATGGCTCCTGTTTTCCTTAAAGGCCGATAAGTTTCCTGCATTAGGAAATTAATAAATGTATTATTGGTACTGTTATTGTTATGCCAGATTTATAAGGAACAGATCTAATATCAGATTATTTTTAATATAACATATGGGATGGATGGATTCAAACTGTTTTTTACAGCTTGTGTTGGTGTTCTAAATAAAACTTAAATGACTTAAAGTATTTTATGAAGGTTTTAGGAATAAAGTTTCTCTCCATCTTTGCATATTATGAACAATAATGCAAAGCTACGTTGGGTGTTTGCTGATTATCTGCCAGCAGGGGGCAGTGTGAACCAATGTGCTTCAATATGTTGCCACCAGGACTGACATTCAGTCATTGATATCTTTTGGCATGGCTGACTCTGATGTTATGTATGCAGCTTATGGTGGATCAGATGAGCAACATGTGCAGCATGTGTGCTCTTGCTCTCCCCATTTCTTGCACTATTTCAGGCCCGCAGCCTTTGTAGTTTCACTCTCATACCGGATCTCCTTCTTAAGCTCAGACTTAGCAGAGCTGATCCCGGAGACATGAAGGCACCATGCCTCCATCCCTTACCACTCAGAGGGATCAAAACTGCCAGCGCGCAAGATTAGCTATTACACTCTCCAAAACACAAGGGCCATCCCGACCCATCCACGGCAACTTCGTTGCAGCTCCCGCACTCACTTGTGTCAGTCAAATGCCAATTGTGAGGGCATCAAACCTTTAAGCATCAGAAGCAAAAAAAAAATCAAGAGTGTGCTTAATTCTCCACAGCTGAGGGGACACATGGCACAGATCCCCTGGGTAACACCAAGGTCAGAGGCCGGGTGCAGACTTTAGGAGAGGCAGACAGCGTGATCCGATATTGTTCATTTAGTGTGATGCACTTCAGCAATTCAACACATGGGATGAACCTGAGATCAGGAGGGTTTAGCATATCATGGGATATTAGTTTCTGTAGGAAAGTATGAAAAAAAAAAAAACTACCAGCAGATGGAACATTGAAAGAAGGCAAAAAGTTTCTCCAATAACTAGTTGGAAAAAACTAACAAACAAATTACCCATGTTCAATTAAAAAAAACCATCAACATTTTCCAGTGCAGTGATTCTTGAACTTCTACTTCAATAACTTCAACATGTATTTGTGCTTTAGTAAGAAAAATACAGCAGAAGAAGGGTATGTTAATATAAAACATAAATCAACATTGCCAGAAAAATGGCTGGGTATGTTTTTATTCAAGAAAAAGGGCTTAAAAATGTGCAAAATGAAACATGGTGATAGATATTTACACTGCAGATCCAAGAATAAAACACCATCAGTTTTACTAATTACATAGCAGTCTGCACAGATTGTTGGAGGGTTTGATAAATTCTAAATTGAATGATGTTGCTTGTGAATACAATGTTCTCAGCTTTGGAATAAATCTGTATGCTCGCGCCAAGTTTGGCTTTTGCAGTTTTTGTCATGAGGTTACTCACTCAACATGCAGCCAATACATACACAACTGCAAGATACATCTTTTAAATGATAAGTAATCTTACTTTTTATTAATTTCTATAGTCACAATGTGATCTTGTGACCCTCCTGAATATTGAAAATGTCACTGTAATCAGCATTTCCATTAGCTGCAATATTATATTACAACCTGAAAACTTGAAAGCATATTTTCTTTGTCTTTTTTATGAACAAAACGTGAACAAAATTCTTATTTGAAAAATTCTGATTTCTTTTTTGTTTTTGATTTATTTAGTTTGCCTAGATTGATTTATTTAGTTTACCTATATTTATTTATTTAGTTTTGCAGATACCAATTTCTTCCTGTGGTAGGATTGCATTAAAAAGCATGCAGGTGCGTTTCTGACTCTTCCTGATGTTTCAGGGTCTTTGCTCAAGCGCCGTTTCTCCCCAGGAATTTTATGACTTGCTGTTAAATTTCTCGTATGTATTTATGAAAGTAGACTAAGAAATGCTCTTTAACTTTTTCCACATACTTGCTAAGTGAATAACAAAAAAAAAGATGTGTTGTGACACGTAATAGCATCTTGTTTACAGCGCATCTATTATTTTATAGAATGGTTGTCTTGATTTTTCCCATTCATCTGGGCTTGTATGTGTATACACCTGCATTCTTGCCATACCAGTGCATGAGGGAGGCTGCACCACAGACCTGGCACTCCTTTGCTCAGCTTCTCTTCCTTTCCACCACAAGAAATAATTGAACTCAAGCAAGCACAACTCAAGCAGGGTCCAGATTTATTAGAGGCTCCGTACTTTTGATTCAGGAGTGTTGTGGTGCAGTCTCTTGGGTGCAAGGCAGGTCGACTCTTAATAAAGAAGCTGGCTCCCGTAGAGATCTCACAGCCCGCAGTTGTTACTGTCACTCATTATCACTCCAGCCTCCCTCTGCACACACACATGGGCAAGCTGGAGCTTGTACAAACACCCACACACGACCCCTGCATGCATGTACACCCACTCGCCCACTTTCATATGCACGCACATGCACACGCACACACACTCCCACACCCACACACAAAGACACACATGAGCCAAGGAGCATGGGCAGCAGGGTCACCCCAGCGCCATGCTTCATAAAGGGCACCGTTACAATAGGTTTACTGTTACTCTGACGAGAGCTGGGACACAAAAAGACTGATGGTGCTGGTCGGATTTCTTTCCATTTTTCACTTGATTGGAAGGAAGAAAGACTGAGAGCGGACAGCATGTTATCAGAGGACGGCCCTGGAGGTGAGTTTGCTCATTGGGGGTTTATGCGCTCCTCCTTTTCTGGGATTGTTGGACACGTGTAGAGCTGAGAGAAATTTGACTTTAGGACTTTAGAATGTGCATCAGTCTGAATCTCTTTAAAGGTCAGGCCACGGTAATGACTGGAAACTGGTGCACTGACAGACATCAGCAGAAAGGCAACCCATATTTTCACAGTTGCAAAGTGACACCTTCAGTCCCTCCTCATATTTGATGGAGTGAAACGTTACGCAATGTGGTTTCATTGCATCATGTTTAGGCAAGAAGTCGGAGGGAGGAAAGGTGAAATCCCTGGTAGACAGAGAAGCAGGAAATGAGGGGCAGTAAACCAAATGAATGAAGGAGGGAGCCTCATGGATGCATACATCAGGAGGGTGAGAAGGATCAAAATACAAGGAGCTGAGCCAGAGGGACTGGAGTTAAAGGGAAGGTTCGGTGTTACAGGGGCAGAGGTGGGTTTCGGGTTTGTGGTGACAGATGGGACTCACCCTCAGTCAGGGGGGTGTGACGTTAAATTGTGAGATTCCTCTTAGCTGGGGAGAGCGGTGATATTTTCTCCGCAGCTGTCAATGATTCAACACCTACACAGCACCACACCCTCTGACCCTGTGAACTACACCCCATAGCATTCAGAGCCATATTTCATATTCTGCAACAGGCCTCCGGGGTTGTTTCTGTCAGTCATCAAACTGAAGAATTCTTCAGCGACAACATCAATGATTCATGAGCTAAACATTAACATATTCGTTACCGTTTCTGGGTTATTCTCTGCCCCGGCTGTGTTTGCTCAGTCATGTCGGTCTGTATTTGATTAGCATTGTTCAGCCCAAATACAATGAATGAACAGCTGAGTCATAGTTTGGCCTCGGATATGCCTACCATAAACATCCATAAAGGTGTGAGGAATATTTAAAAAACAATCCTCTGAATGAGCGTAATTCATGGTTTGTACTACGTGCAAAACTGACAACTCAGAAGGTCAGAAGACTTATAACAGAAGTAGAAGTTACACTTGTAATGCTCTTTCAAACATTTAGAGCCAACGTTTAGTTTTTAATCTCCTAATGGTTTTTACTTAATAGCTATTTTGTGCTTCTTACATAGAAGAAAATCTAAGCTTACCTAAATTTAGCAAAAGCACATGAAAACTCCCTCAAAAGTATGTAGCAAGACGTGTCATGGTTTGATAACTATAAAACGAAACTTTTTAACCGTAATTCCAAAAGCAACACTGTATACCATCTAAAGAACACCACATTCAGAGTGAAGCAAGGTGGTGGCAGGAAGCATTATTCTTTTAGGGGTTTTTTTTCTTCAGCTGAAAGATGAGCCTAAATTAAGGTAGGAGGAATTATATACCAATCCAACATTGACACAACATGTAAGACTTCAGCTGGAGAGCAAAAGAGGAAGAAGTACTGTAGCTTCAAGCATGAAAATGATGCAAAGCATAAATCCTGAAGAACAAAGCAAGAGATACAGATGATTATGACAAAACACTGATTGCTGTATTAAGATCAAAAGTATGCAAACTTATGTAACCCATCTGTCATTATTATGATGATGATGATGATTATTATTATTATTATTATTGCACTAAAAGTAGTAGCCTTTATTTTTCACTAAAAGATTCTTGGTCGTTATAACAACTCATAGGTCACTGTAAACATATGAAGACAACCTGAAATAATTTACCATAATCTAATTTGTTTCTATGTGAACAAAAACCTCAGGATTTTAAAAGGGGTGTGTCAAGTTTTTATTGCAAGTGTACTACAAATCGCTGTGCATTTGGTCAAAGTACAGCTCTCACTGTTTTTTTTTTTTGTTTGTTTGTTTGTTTTTTTCCTAATTTGCTATTATCTGTTTTGTGCAATGCATCATTTGAGAGGACCACAGGTGAGAAAATGTAGAGTTGCAGTTAAAAATTAACATCAATGTTTTTGGTTTGTTTAGCTTGTCATACAGAAAATTGCGAGCCTTCATTGCTCAGTCATATTTTGCCAATGTATCTGATACATCTAGAAATTTTAGAGTTGCAAACTAAATATTTAATTAATCCTGCGCAATGGTGGATCTCATCCTGCACATTTGTGAGTCTTAGTCTGTGCATTTGTGAATTATGAAATATAAACTACCATATAGTCATGTTTGTTATGTATTGACGCAGGCTCGAGGATTATACTAATACCCACTAGCGCGTGCTCACGTAAGGTT